CCCCAAAACCCCAAAACCCCAAAACCCCAAAACCCCAGGACAGTTTAGGAAAATATTTATATTAAATCATATGAATATTAAACTTTTTTGAGCTCTTCTTCTTCCTCGGCCTACATTAGTCACTGCAAGAACGTACCTGATCATCTGAGGATGATTAAACCTATTTGTTTTGGCATGCAAATTGACCTGACTGTTAACCCCTGATCTAGGATAATATTGTTCCTGAGAAATATATTCAGAAATCGGAGTCTCCATTGATTTCCGGTGTCCTTTGCTCGGCTTCAAGGCGAAATTGTTCACTATTCGTTATCAGACAACTTTACAACTTCGGAAAGTGGCGTAGATCCCCTTCTCTGAAGCATCATTTGTAGTAGTCTTAGTGTTAGAGGTACTCCATTGATTCTCAATGTTATTAAGCTTGGGTAGCATCCTGGATCTCTTCTCAATTTCTCCATGATGCTCATAACTTCTAAATCAGTAAGGATTTGATATGAAATTTTCATAACATTTAGGTGAGCAATTGTGAAATATTTCAAATTACCTTCTCATATATTGATAATTATTGAAGATAGGGACTTCCAGGTTAGGCTGGGAATCCTTATGATGAATGGCCAAAGCGCTATTACTCTCCTTCTTCAGCTTCTCGAATCTTTTCAAGTTAGGAAGCTCTGATTTTGGGGTTTCCCTTTCTTCAGATTGCTTTGAAGCATTATTTGATAAATATCTGCGACTTCTATCCAAAATTATAAAACTTGTAGATGGAGAGATTGTGATGATGAACTTGCCTAAAATCAATAGCTTTATAGCTCTCTTGAGTTCATATTTTCAGTGAGTTTTTCCTACGTGCAACTATAAGGAAAACTGGTGAGCCTCGTCTGATACATTAGAAGATACATAAAAACCTAAACTGTTTGTAGCAGTTGGCAAATCACTTAAAATAGAGTAAAAACTCTTCAGATTCCTTACTATTTATTGTCTTGGTTGATTGATTTCTTTTATCCATAGGAACTATATATAACAAGACTAATTTTACGTCAAATTTTTCTATTTCTTATCCAGTGCAGCCTTGATATTAGAGTCAGAATCCCTTGAAAGAGATTCGTCATCGTCAAGAACAACTATAAATCGCATAAATAGCCATACCTTTAGGTTTGTTAATGAGGGTGTCCTTGAGTACAAGCTTGCCGTCTCTCCTTCCTACTTGAGTTTTCTTTAACACATTTGCTAAATTTGACTTGACTTGTTGTTTCCTTCGATTAAGAGTGCTCGTAAAATTGATCTTTTTCATAATTTGTCTGTTTTTAAAAGCTATAAACTCATTTCCGATTTCTTGAAGACCCCGATCTATTATAGACTTCTTGATAGAGGCATCTCCCAGTTCACCCAACTTCTTAAAATTTGAGATGTCAGTCAGATTCCCAAATCGGAATCAAGCAGGGAACAAAGAGAATAATTCAGCTACGAATGGTCGATCTGATATCTTCTTCTCCAATAATTTCATTATGAACTCCTTTAGCTTTGCAGAATAACACCCTAACAGAGGTTTAGGAGACTTATATTTGATATTCTTGAGTAATGTTTCTAAGTCTTCACTAAAATATGGAACCTCAAGTGCAGCAAGGTGGTACATCACTCATCCTAGTGCCCATATATCAACTCGGTGATCGTAATTGTGATGCTTTATGAGCTCTGGGGCTAAAAACATTGGAGTTCCGACTGTTTTCCCAGATAGATAATCAGCCTCACTGAGAGACCTCGATTCTCCCAAATCTCCAATTTTCAGGACTCCATCCTTAATAAAAATATTAAGAGTCTTAATATCCCGATGAATGATATCATTTGCATGCATATGTAGCAATCCAAGTCATAGCTCCCAAGCGTACTGCCATAGAACTTTCTCTGAGAAGAACTTCCTAGCTTCTTTCTGCTTCTGAATGAGTGTTAAAAGATCGCCACCTTCCGCATATTCCATAACAATATACAGAAAGTCAGCTTCAATAAAAGAGGTATATCATTTTATGATATTGTCATGGTTTATATTCTTCAGCATGAAGAATTCCCTGACCATCTCTTTTGGCTTATGCTTCAAAGAGATCTTCTTCAAAGCATAGAAGTTATTAGAGCTCTGCTCTAATAACTTGGTGCTGGAGATGAACTTGACTTTGTAAACAGTTCCAAAAGTTCCGCTACCAATCTCTTTTATGACCTCAAAATCTTGCAATGAAATGTCACCATCTGAAATTTTTGACTGAGTAGCAAGCTTTTGAATGTTAATAGGCTTGATCAAGGTCTTATGATTCTTGAAATCTATAGGGATTAGCCTTATTGTGAGTACTCTGCTGGTTCTGGCTCTATTTGGGGTAACTCAAAGCTTACCTTAAATCGATATATTCTTCTCCTTCCTCGATGGCTCTTACTTTGAATCTTTTCGTTTTCATGAACATTAATGATATTTTCACAACTACAAGGTTAAGTTTTGGAATTTTATTGTAAATTTAGGATATTTTTGAGCTAATTTAAAGCTGACAATGAAGCATGAGAATACTCGAACTGAGATTTCCTAAGCTAAGGAAATGTCAAATATTTTTCTATAAAATTTGCTAAATTCTAGAATCTGTGAGTTTTTAAACTTGATGACCAAAATATCCGCAAAAGTGATTGGTATAAATGATTTAAATTTTCAAAGCTCTAGAGTATCAAGAATTTATTTCATAAGCAGAAAGAATTTTGAAGAATAATTTCTTTCAATAACCACATCTCCAAAATTATTAAACTCCTTTTACTATGCATAAGTGCTACAAATTATGCATTTTCTCAACTCCACTCCTCCTCAGGATGTGCAAAACCAAGCTAGAATGCTATTAAAAATACTGAGCTAAATCTCCAAATGGCCAGCATCAACTATCCTTCAGTAAAAACTACGATAAACATAACCGAATCATAATCGAAGGCTTACTTTTGATCCATATTTAATATTATAATATAAAACACCTATAAAGTTTGATCACTTTGGGGTTTTGGGGTTTTGGGGTTTTGGGGTTTTGGGGTTTTGGGGTTTTGGGGTTTTGGGG